TGTTTGTGGTTTGTGTTGCGTCCTCAGGCACAAGGAAATGCTCCAGCATCACATGGGCCCCCCAAAACAAGTTTCTTCGGACGAGGTGGAAATTCTCTCAGGTGCCCTCCTGCGAGCCAGCCGCTAGACTGGTCTCGGGATGTTTCTTCGAGGCACAAAACTGAGGAGTCTGATTGCCCTCGGGAGGGAATATGGCTGAAGGTTTTCAGGTACCAACTAGTCCCTGCAAGACAAACATTTCTGTCCCCCAACCTGCATCTACATATGACGTTTCGGAGCGTCTCAAACCAGCCCTCCAGCGAGCAAGCCCTAGACTGAAGCCCGGGAAATGGACCTGTCGAAATGTCTGGGTGCCTTTCTGGTGCACGGATGGCTTTAGAGACATGTCAAACTTCGTCCAAGGTGGACAAAGGACAACATGGTGGAAACGGGGTGCCATCTTGTAATTGCCCTCACGGTGCACTAACCCAGGGATGGTTGACGGTCAAACGATCCGGCGTCTCAACACGTCTCCAGCAACTGGTTTTGCCAGGTCCACCCGAAACCTGGAACAGATTGACCCCCATGGCTGTCGCAGTTGGAGGTACATGTTAAAACTAATGGGAACCCATTGGAGCCAAATCTGCTTTTAGGGGCAACAACCCAACCCCGAGCTACTGTCTGAAAGGGGAACCGACATGGAACCAGAGGGCTCGGTTCCTGGTTTAACACGTCGAGAGTCTCGGCACGTGCAGCAAAACTTCCCAGGTCATAGGGTCGCTGCGCGCGGGCTTCTCTAAATCCACATCCCAAAAACCAGCTACGGGCTATCCTCATAAGCCTCAAGTCATGCGGCGCTTTGATCCTGACACACCACCCAAAAAAGAGAGAGAAACGTCGCCGCGAGGGAAGGAGCCCAAAAATGATGGGCTCTTCCAATGTGTGGAAAATGGCTTTTGCAGATGGATAAGGCGCAACCTCCCAACTGTTCCCCAGTCAATATGTCTCCGTCCATTGTGGTGATGTTAACTTCGGATGCAGGGGTGATGTTTGTTTTTTGTCTGGACTTAGTTCATGTTTGGGGAGTCCTCGGAATAGTATGGTCCGAATTCATCCCGGGTCAACATTAATATGTTTGTGACAAGTTGCATGAAGGCGACAAATGATGATCAGCCACATGATGCTGAGCATACCCCAGAGATTGACCTTGTTCACCAGTCTCTGCAAATCCTTGGCCAAACGGATCCAACCCCCACCCCCACTGCAGCAAGGTCTCTGCTTTTCTGGTTAAAGGGAAAATGAATGGAAATCCAAAATCCCAAAGGCTGTAAAGCCAGGTTAAGTCGGTTAAGTCTGGCAATATTGGATGGCACTCTCGTTATCAGGAAAGCGAATGGGACGCCATGCATCCTTCTGGCCAATGGAATCCAAGTAGAAGGAAACGGCGTGCCCCGCCAAGTTCAGGAGCATGAAGGTCATGCCCACCAGGAAGTACTCCTGACAGAACCGTCCAGCTTGGAACTTGTGGCAAAATAATCAGGGGCACCTTCAAAGGGGCCCGCTCCAAGCTGCCCTGGTGCCCTTTGATTCCTGGGTTGCAAGCCCTCTTGGAAGAAACGTCCCCACATCCAGTCCCAATATCCTGGCCGGCACAGGCTGGATGCGCGAATGTATGAACCCATACAATAAGATGTTGGGCTGCTTTCCTTGAAAACAAATCCTGCACCAGTTGGCAAGTGGTAGGGCCATCGGTTTCAACATGTAACTGGCTTTGTTGAGACATGGGCTTCTCTCCGCAAGGAGCGAGCGCTGGGCTTTGCGCCTCCATCCAGCTGATGTCGCCGGCGGAGGGGAGCAAGTTCAGCAGCCGGTTCCGCAAGTTGGTGACGGACACCAGCGCCAGCATCCTCGGCCCGCTGGGTATCTGTCGAAATAAGACCCGAGATGTGGCGGTGTCCTTCTTGGCTTCTCTTCGAACCAAAGAGAAAAGGGGTTCCCACAAGACAGCACACAGCCTGCTGAAATGCGTCGAAACCAGTTGGACCGAATCTCAGAAGCCGTCTATAAAGCTTCCATGCTTTTTCCTAAGCAAGCAGACCAGAAGTCGAGAAAAGATTCTACGAACTTCAGGCATAGGGAAGATGTTTGGTTGTTTCCCTAAGTCCAAAGCCTGGGCAAAACCATTCCCAGCAGTTTCCTTTTAGGGGATCCCCGTACGGTTTGTTCCAAAACCCCTGAATCGATTCCCGACATCTCGAGCCAGCAAGCAAAAGGGTGTCAAATCAGGGGGCCCCACTTCATGGTTGATTTCTTCTTGGGTGTCTCTTTTTTTGAGGGACCCCCCAAAATGGATTCCGGATTTCATTCTGGTTTCCCCTTACTCAAAAAAGGGGTCCCCCCCCCAAAAAAAAAACACAGACGAGCCACCCTCTTGGTTTCCACACAGGTCCCCATTCAGTTCAAACCGAAGCGGCGTGGTGGCCACCCGCGGCATAGACATCTTCACGTCCAACGTGAAGGCCATGAAGCCCATCCTAACCCGAGAAGTCGGCGTCCCATGCGATGACAATCACCGAGCTGCCACGAGAACAGTACCCTCCTGTCCGCGTTTGGAACCCTCCAGAGGGTCCCCTTTTAAAAGCAACGTCGTCTTCCAGGACCCCTCAGGCAAGTTCCATGTTTGACAGGAGGGTAAGCATAGAGTTACCACAAAGAATCAGGGACTGCTCTACATTCTATCTTGGCCAGCTTGAAGGAGCAGGATACGGTAACCTACTTGGAAAACACACAATGGTGTCTAGGCTATAGGCAGGGTTAACCACTTACCCCTTTCAGAAGGGTTGCGCATTGAGATGAGGGACACAACTTCGGCCTTGAAGCCCTGGGTGGTAGCTAGGGCCATGCTATCCCCATGTAAACTCACTTCCTGAGTGAGTTCGCCAGAAAAAGCAACAACAACTTGCTCCGTACCGCTAAACTCATCTCCAAAAAAAATACAGTCCACCCACTCGGAAAGTGAGTAACCCCTTACACTCGCGGGGTTTGGTCATGCAACTCGGAATCCTGGTGAAGGGCCGGGTCTGAAGGCGTTGGGCGATTCAACCTCCGGTGAAACTGGTTTAAGCAGCGCGCCAAGGGTTTTGGAGCTGAAGGACACAACTTGGGTATGTGTCACAATAGGGAGACACCCGGAATGATACTGAAAGGGCAAACTGAAAGAAAACAACAATGCTGGGTACCCTGTTTCTGTCAAACCTCCAAGCTACCTTTGGTGTTGTGAGTTCAATTACAGGTTCGGGCTGGAAGAAAAATAGGGGGCCACCCTTTGGTTCGAATGAGGGAATTTGAAAACACGCAAACGCCCTTTGGGAGCACCTGCGTCAGAACTAAACTCCGGTTTTGGGCGCTGGCGAATGCTCCAGGACACTCGCACTCGCCGAATCTTTCATAGAACACGCAGACACCAAAATGGAGCAAACACAAATGATCGGTCGGGGGTCAACGCAAACAGGTTGGGGCAACATAGCCCATACTTTCTAATATTCGCAGGTAAATGGGGATGGAAAGCATTTCAGGGTTGGGAGATTTGGCCGCCTGTGTAAAACATGGCCCGCTACCTCCCATCGGCTTCCCTTTAAAGAGGATGGGGTGGATGTTCAAACAAATGCTGCCCGATGGACTTCACTGCGAACTGTGCAGACCACAGACCACAGGCTGGCACATGCCCTTTGAACAAGGAGCTCGTGCACCTGACAATCCTGCATTGGTTATGCGGCTTTGGTCTGCAGTCACCAGTGGAAGCGCATGGCGCTCTTGCTTTCGTGCTTCAGCGAGAGAACATTGCCATTGCTCCCATTGTGGACCGCGCAAATTGACTGTGCAAATAGTCCATGTAAAAACAGTGGCGGAAAGGTCTGCTCTGCGCCCGTTCGGTGCTAGCTCAGACTGCGCAAACACGCACAGACTCTCTCTTTCCGCGTGGTGCACCCCCGAGTTCGTGAGGCAGGCACTGACCAGCCACAAGCCAAGTTCCAAAACGGCTTCTTTAAGGGAGAAAACCAAAGGCCGCCCAACCCCCCCCCCCCCCCCCCCCCCCCCGCCCCCCCCCCCCCCCCGCAAAAAAGAAAGAAAGAAAGTTAATAGAACCTTCTGAAAGTCTTTCCGGGAAAAGCAGGACCCCCATGTCTTTCCTTATCAGCCGCGGGTCGCACTGAACATCAGCGAAGGCCACATGTACGAGTTGAAGAGTGGCGCCCACTGCCTGCCCAGCGCCATGTCTGAATTGAGCAGCGCGCAAAGCCGATTGACTGTTGGGTTTTATCAAGATGGGTATAACATATGCTATATAGGATTTGTTGATGAAACCAGGTAGTGAAAACACCTACTAAATTGGCCAATGAGATGTCGGGCACTGCTCTATTGGGGTGTGTCCAATACGTGGCACCCACTTGTCTAAATTGACACCTGATCTCAGGACCCCTTTGCAATCATGCTTAAGCGTTTAAACACCTGCGTTAAAAAAAAAGGGGAAAAACAACTCCTTTAGGTTTCGGTTGAAACAAACTCTGCCAACAGCAGGCGCCGAAAGGCACGTGAAAGGGAAAGAGCCATTCGAGGGTCCCGGCTCGTTTGCCACAAACCTGCCTGACGCCCTCCATGGTGCAGCGGACGAGTTCATCATCCAGCCGCTCGCAGACAAAGTCCTTCCAGTCGAAGCCGACGTAGGACGCCTGGACCTGAGCCAAGTTGCAATTTGCGTTGGGTTGGAATCCGAAGGCTTTTCTGACCTAAGACTGGCTAAGGTGTACACACTTGCGCCCCAAAACAACGCAGAAATCTGGCAACAACAACATCTTGGAGAAACTGAACAAGTAAAAAAGTGTTCGTTCCATTCTCGGTTGGCCTTCCGAAGTCCGGCAAAAACAACTCCGACTGCGAATTCGGAAAGAGCCCAAAAGAAGATATTCCATCAGAGAATGGTGGCCTTTTTGACGGCTTGTTCGAGGAGCTTTTGTGAACTCGGCCCAAAGGCACACCCAACAATGAGACTTTCGGATTCTAGTCCATATCTCGTCTGCCCTGGAATGTGTATATATATATATATACATACTGATCTTGGAGAAGACTTCACTGAAAGGGGACATATAGGAAGCCCTGTTTCGAGTCAGTCGAAGAGCAAAGGTTCTCAGAGGCCTTTGCCACCTTGCCAACCACAGCCAGCGAGAAAGCCACGCTTCCCAACTTCCGTGCGAACAGTTCGATCCTAGTTGACCATGCGAGGAAATGAAGGCTAGCAAAACGAATAGAAGTAGCAGGAAAGTATGGCAACTCACGAGAAATGGCAAGGAAAAGCTACAGTCGCGAGCCCAGCTACCCGTGAACAGCGGGTAGGTTCGGGACAGGCTCGGATGCGAAACGCCTTGGAATCAACGCCTTTCACGAACCTCCAAATGGCAAACCTGCTGCGGTCTTTCGAGGTCTCCCAACGGGCTCACATCGGGCTCACAACTCTCCGCATTGGGATGGCAAGATCGCGTTTGCAAACTCAAAATGGTGAACCCTCTGCGGACTTTCAGCTGGCGTAGAAGTGTTGCGTAACGGTGTGGCTGCGCGGGCTGTTGGCCCTTCAATTTTTTGAACTCTTTGCGCACTTTCGGCTGCTGACATTCAAACACTCTTGATTGATGAACGGTGAACCCTTTCTAGACTTTCTGCGGGTGCAGATTCAGGCGTTGAACTTTCCCATTGGCACGGTCAAATGCCGCGAGTGGCAAACATCAAATCGCGCCAGCTGCACGGCGCCCAGTGAGTTGCAGTATTCGTTTTTGAGATAGTACGCTTTCGCGGCTCTGGCTCGCAAATCGCAACTTTTGGCACGCCAAGACATCGCAGCTGGAAAATTGCAACTGTCCGCGAAGTACACTTTTGCAGCTCCGGCTCGCAAATTGCAACTTTTAGAAGAAAAGTAGGAACTAAGCTCAGTGGGGAGCAGTTCAGGCCACTGTCAAGAGAACATACTGACGCAGCGCGTGTGAAAAATGTTCAGCCGGGCGGGGGGCGCGGCATGGGGTTGCTTGACACAGTGTTTGGCCGGATCCTGTGTTGCGCCTTTCGAGTGGTGACAAATACAACGTCCACAGTGAGTCAACAATGGTTTGGCGCGCTTGGCACGAGCGCACGAAACGTTGGGGTACCACCCCTCATTTATCTGCCAGGTTCCACTTCAGTTCGGGGGTGTTAAAAAAACACACACCAACAAACAAAAACTAGGTCCCCGGCCGGCACAGTGCATTTGGTGATGACGGTCTCGCCATTGATGGTTTGGCTCTCGCTGTCTCCTGCACTGAAAACAACAACGCAGGGGCAGGTTTGGCACAGCACACATCTTCATTTTGTGTGATGATCACCACGGCTCTCTCTTCGGCTCTGCAAAATTGCGGTCCATGTGGGCAGCCAAGCATGATGCTGAAGATCAAATTGCCAGGCTTCCTTACCAGCAGAGTGCCAAACTGCAACCACTCCATACAAGTGGCAAGAATCAAAGAGCCTCTCTGACTGCTTTATTGTCTGGTGGTTTTGTGGGAACATTTGCAAATGTTACGCTAATTCAAGAAATAAGGGAGATCCAAGTAAAGCACACATTCATCACGGTGAGCTGTGTTGCCCCTAGGTGAGCTTGCAAGCAACAACCGAGTGTGCTGCACCACAGCTGCACATGGAGCCTCAACCGCCTGCCCCAGCGCTTGGTTCGGCGAGAGACAGGGCAAAAATGACAATGAGGATCCACAAGAGCAACCAAGTCAAAAGATGTGCCGTGCACTCGACCAGTGGGACTACGGAACGGCTGAGTGATTGTCTGCTCATGAATAGCTCCCTCAAGTGCTTGCAGGGTAAAAACAGCTGCTGTGTCACAATACGGTAGTTATTGCCACAAGTTCAGCTCGCAAGGTTCCTGCGGCCATCCCCACTGAGTGTGTCATCACTGATTTGCACCAGCAGAACCACACATAAGCTTAGAAAGGGTCCGCTAGCATATGCTCCCAGACACTTGCTGCGACAGGCTGTTTTTGTGAATCTGTTTTCCTGGCTGAAACAACTTGCCAACCTCGAGCATCAGACAAAAAAAGCCTTCCAACCTCTGCTCATTTGATCACTCCGAAAGCCAATTGAAAGCGGAGGCCAAGGTGGATTTTTGGAAAAGTAGAGGGCATTGACAAATGATTGCAGCCAAGCAAGAACCAGTGCCACCGGTGTTCAGGCAAACTGACCTGAAAAGAACACCTATCTTGGCTCCAAGTCTCTGGATGCTGATTGAAAGCCCAACCCTCTTCATGTCAAAGGGGTAGCAGGACCTCAGTTGACGAAAGGACCCGGAAACTACAGAAATTTGACCGAAAAGGGAAACCAAAAAGTCAAATAAAACCCTGTTCAAAGGCTGGCATTGGGCAAGTGAGCGACATCTCAAAGTCGTTCGCCGCTTGCGAGAAGTCGCCCACGTACACGGTGCTCGCAGATTCGGCGTCATCTCCTGTTTCTGGATTCACCACCGAGATCACGCCCATCTCCCCTGGCATGGTCTTTGACTCGCTGGTTAAACAGGGGTTCCCCCTGATTGGCGCCTGTTTTGTCGACCCCCGAAACTGTTTTATTGTTGACCCAAAACCAAGGGTAAGGAGTCCATTACAGATTATGGACTTGGAAATACAGGGAAGTTGTGGCTTGCTCTCAGTAGGCAATGTCTAAGGGTTGGGAATGAGCCGTTTGGGATCCCCTGAAAAATATGAGGGATGAAACATAGTTGACCTCCAAAGAGTTGATTTTCTTGATAGCTAGTACAGAAACAGCCCAAAGGGTTGACTGACAAAAAGTCGTACCAAAGAGCAACCAAGTCACGCTTATCGCCCTGCCCGAAATTCTCCACATCGATGATAGCGCGAGGCTGATTCACAAACCGCGTTGCACTTGAAGGGTACATCTGAGCGAACAAAGCACACCAGACAGGCAGCACTGATATTCCTTCATGGAGAGCGTCCCATGTGCCATATGTTGGTCCTCTCTGAGAGGAAACTTTCCCTTTACAGAGTCCATTTCGTCATTGAGAGCCACATATCATGCACGCGACACCCAGGTGCCAGCAAGCTGAACTGCGTTATTTCCTGTTGGGACTCCGGTGACATGTTAACCAAACAGGAAAAATACCCAGGGTTGGACCGAAGTGGCTAAGTTTCTGTAGCATGTCTTGGCTCTTAGACCCTCTGCTGTGATCCATTTCGCCTGCGACCAAGGCACTGAGATCACCGTCAATCGGCCCTGTATGACTTTGCGCGCATCGTCGAAGCCCAGAAACAGATCCCAGGCAGGAAGTACTGTCAGCGCAATGCCTGAGAGAAAACAGAAGTGAACAGGCGATTAAACAAGAACTCATGGAGAAAACTGAAAAAGAGCTCACAAAGCTCACAGTTGGACACGAAAGGGGAACAAATAACTCCCGCTAACAACCTAGTACACACGGACTCGGATGTCCCGAAATCTTCAGGATCTTACAAGCAAAGGCCGACCCACCACACGCAGACAGACACACGCACACACAGACAGAGATACAAAGACACACACAGACAGACGCAGACAAACACAGACACAGACAGACACAGACAGACACACACACACACACACACACACAGACACAGACAGACACAGACAGACACAGACAGACACAGACAGACACAGACAGACACAGACAGACACAGACAAACACACACACACACACACACCCACGCACACACACACACACACACACACACACACACACACACACACACACACACACACACGCACGCACACACGCACGAGCGCACGCACACACGCACACACGCACTCGCGCACTCGCGCACTCGCGCACTCGAGCGCACTCGCGCACTCGCGCACTCGTGCACACACACGCACGCACACACTCCAACCCACAACGCACGCACTCCAACGCACGCACGCCGCAACGCACGACACGAGCACGCACGCCACAGCACCCACCATGCCACCCACTCAAACACCCACTCACCCACGCACCACCACCTGCACAGCCACTGCACCCACTCCGCCCAACAAACCCACGCACGCACGCACCCACTGATCCCCATGCACCTAGCGCACCCACGCACGCACGCACCCACCCACACACCCTCACACCCACAAACCCACCAATGCACCCACCCACCCACCACCCACCCACCCACCCACCACACACACACACACACACCACGCACACACACACACACCCACCCACCCACCCACCCACCCACCCACGCACGCACGCACGCACGCACGCACGCACGCACGCACGCACGCACGCACGCACGCACGCACGCCACGCCGGCACGCCACGCACCGCACCACACACACACACACACAACACACACACACTTATCTCGAGAGCATCTCTTGCAGACACAGCGATTGTACGAAAGGGCAATGAAAAAAACATCATCCTGCAGTGTCAAAATGTCACATCATCGAAACCGAACATAGAAGTAAAAAACAACAGTGGTAAAACATACCGAGGAAACACCATTAGGTCACGAAAGGATGGTCAAGAGTACCCTGAAAATGGCCCATTTTCCGGTATCTCGTCTTGCTGCCTCGCTTTGTTAGACCAGGTCCAGCACTAGACGCCGGGTCCCCCTGCAATGTGGAATTTCCGTCAGTGCTCCAGGACGCTTCACACACACGGAGCCCCAACTGGGGCGACATCACTTGTGCAAGGCCCATTGAGTCTTGCAAGCATCAATTGTGCGAGAAAGTCTTGTGGCGATGACTGACCACGCATACTTGGCTTTGGAAATGGTCTTAAGGGAACGGAGGAGTTCAATCTCTCCCTCAGTCCAAGGCTGCGAGGCTTCAGGTTCGGCCTCAGTAGAGGCATCAGTCCTGGTCGATGTGGTAGCTTCGCTTGGTCCACGAGCAGGTTTTGGATGCCGTAGATCGTGAGGAGGCCAAATCACGTGCGCGGCGAGCTCGTTTTTCGCCGGGAGAAGTCGGAGGAGGGGTGGGCGGAGCCCAATGATCAGGGAATTGTTCGTCATGATCAGTGGGAAGGTGTTCATCTGGAGCATCAGGAGGTGGCTCAAAGAGGTCCTCGAGGGGGGCCAGGAGGGGTGTTGGTGGTGAGTTGGTCAGGTCCTCAATGGCGGGGTTGAGCGAGGCCTCCGGTGCCAAATCAGGTTCGGCAGTCGGACTCTCAGTGAACTCGCGGATGGTGGCGATGCCTTGTTGGGCAATGCCAAGGATGAGTTCGAAGTCTTGGAGCAGCTGGCGTGCTGTGTTGGTATCCATGCTCGCAACGGATTTTGGTCAAACAGTCAAACAGCTGCGACACGAAAATCAGGTCAAATCTGTCAGGATGCAAAGGCAGAGAAGAAAACCAGTGTGGTTTCGCAAAGGACGGTTTTTCTTCTCTTTGTAAGGTGAAACCGTGTTGGAGGTACAACCTCTTCAACATTGCAAGATCCTGATCTCGCTGAAATTCAGGAAAGGAAACTCGGCTGATCAGCGTGCGTCTGGAATAATATCCAGATTCCTTATGTATCATTGGTGCGGCTGACTTGACGGAGAGCATGTTGTGCTTCTCATGCGAGGGGATGAAGGAGATGGTGCTGCTTGTGAGGTTCAGTCGGAACCCCAAGAAGTCCAGGGCGGCTTCTGTTTCCAGGAAGATGTCTCCTCCATAGAAGTGTTCGTCGCACAGTATGTTGGCTGCCTGAGTCGAGAGCCACCTGGGGGTTGCGATCACGAGTCTGTTGTCCACGTAGCGGAGCAGGAGAGTATCTTCAACGGAGCGAAGTCCCGATGTGATGTGAGTGTTGGTCCAACATTGTTCGGCGACCGCGATCACCATCAAACAGAGAGCTGGGGACGCGGGGGATCCCATCGGTGCCCCACGTGTTTGCCTGAATGAACGCAGGCCGACAGAGAAGATCTGCATGTCAAGGGTGGCCTGAATGATCTCGGGGATGTCGTCGAGCCACAGGGTGCGTTGTGTGGGTTTGTGTCGGCGACGGCGTCCGTTGTAGACGCGGGTGATGGCAGAGGTGTCAAGTGTGTCCACTGTGAGGTGTGTGGTAGAGGAGTGTGGTTGTCGTTGTCGGTACCAGGTTAGCAGTAGTCGCCAGGCGAGGAAGGGTGCAAGCATCGGTCTCGAGGGGCCAGGTGGAATGAGGCCCCGGAATTGTAAACTGGATCGAATGGCGGAAAGGCATGCCTGGTGGTGTGGTTCAGGCAGGTGTGTGGCTATGCGATGAAGGACATAGAGAGCGGCGGGTGGGAAGTCTCTGCTCCGTATGTAACGGATGGCATCAAATCGTCGTAGAGTGTTGCAGCCAAGATCGCCCAAAAATCGCCACAAATCCAGGCGGTTGTTCATGCGCTTGGCCAGGAAGGCCTGTTGTAGGGCGATGGGTAGTCGTAGTCGGAGGCGTTTTCGCCAGATGGTGGCGAAGCCCATGTGCCGGGATTGGGAGAAGTCCAATTGGCGTGTGAAGCCCGTGCGTGGCCGGAAATGTCTCTCGATGAAGCCAAAATTGAGAGACGGTTGCAGTTCCTGGATGTAGAACTGTTCAGTGGCAAATAGGTCCGTTGCTGGAACGGCAGTGTGAATGGGCACCGAGGTGTAGTGGTGGAAAATGTCAAAATGTGCCCACCACCGGACTGCTAGTTCGGCATTGACCAGATGATGTCGCTGAACTTGGAGTAGTTTGCGAAGTCGGTTGTGGTCCCGTGCCATGAGGGAGGTGCGAGTGGCTCCGAGGTAGAAAAAGGTCTGCCACTTTGGATGGCTGGTGAATCTCAGATAAACCGCTGAAGGGACAAGCTGAGAAGAGAAATCGGAAGCAGGGTTGTCCAGGCCAAGTCGAGTAAGCCGGGCTTTCAGTCTGCCGGAACCACAGGAGAGATGGCAGACGTCAAGTAGCTGAAGCTGTGCGAGTAGCCAGGAGCAAAAATGACGTGCGGTGACGTCATCGGTTGGGAAGAACCGAAGAGTGAAACGGAGGACAGTGAGAAATTGGCAGCAGTGGTGTTGCCAAAATTTGTGCTGCCTGGCTGTGCGTCGTTGTCGGTGTGCTGTTGAGAGTCACTGGTAGAAGTGACTCGCAGCGGCCAGGATGCGGCCCAAGGCCGATGACCCCAGCTTTGATAGGGTTCGCACCGGGATGCCCCATAGCACAGCGGCTCGTTCGAGTTGGGCTCTGGTGTCGGAGTCCAGTGTGGTTGCCCATTTTGCGCAGTCGTTGGACCAGCTTTTTAGGACTTGCGTGCTCTCTTTGCTGGTTTTCTGGGAGGTGATCCATCGCTGGACTTTGGTGTCGGAAATGTCGGGTGGGAAGTTGTTGGTGAGCCATTGGCAAACGTGGGGAGGTGGTTGGAGCAAGTCGCGGGGCTCCTTCCAAGTGGGTGGGGAGGGGAGGGGGGGAGGGGTCGGGGTGCCGCCGTGGGTGGAGGGGGCTGGAGGGTTGCCGCCGTGGGGGGGGGGA